GCGTTTTGTCGATAATAGTTTGTAGCTTGCTTTATGTTGAAGTTGATCTCGCAGACAACTGAGAGAGGTCCAGGGGCCGAAGAAAACTGTGCTGAGAAGAGGAATAGATGGTGTGGCATCAGAGGGAGCCAACGCGCCCCGTTGGAGAGGCAGGAATAAGGGATTTCCGGTAGCTGATGGTTGATGTGTGTTAATTGACGAACGTGAAGGTGATGGTACCTGCTTTGCCAGATCCTTCAGCTCCTCGATAAGAAGTTGCACACGTCGGAGTGGAATGTTTGCCTTCAGAATCGGGTCAAAGATGAAGCACTCTCGCGAGGTCCTCGCGCATTCCTTACAAGCAGGAAGTTGACGCTGACACTTTGTCCGTCTATCCCTACAAAAGCTGCAAGAGGGAATCGCGTCAAGGATGACGTCTAGCTCCTTTTCCAAGTCGCTGGCGTTGTTATCTATGATATCTCGTCGACGCTCAACCCTAGTCTCGTTAGGTTCCGAAGAAGGCGAAGGGGCGGCCTGCCTGCCGCTAGAAGGAAGTGAGAAGCAGCTTTCGTTGGTGACAAAGTCTTGGTCTATGAAGTCTGTCCACCACTGTTCGTCATTCAGAAAGTCTCTGGCGATGTTTTCTGGTTCCGAGGGAGAAGGCGTGGGTTTCTTTGGAGGCGGGAAGGGAATGTTTCGGTGGCGGATGCTGTGGATTCGTCGCTGGGTGACTAGACAGTGGAGTTCTTCGAGGACTTGCATGTCGTAGTGGCTTCCGTTATAGCCGAGTGGGTTGCGGAGGTTCGTGTCGATGAGTTCGTTGATGTAGCTTGCGGTGTCGGATAGGGGTGGCCATCTGCTTGAGAGCTGGTTCTGTGATTTTTGTCAGTGACCCTTTTGGGATGAATCCTTTCGGTCTTTCTGCTAGCGGACCAGACTTACGAGGAGTGCTGAGACATGATTCAACGAAGCCGTGGCGATATCTACAAGTGAGGAACGCTGTAACTTTGTAGCGTGGTTTCGAAGAGCGTAGAGCAAGAGCATGCCAGCTTGGAATATTCGGTTGCCGATCTCAAAGACCATGACAATACCGCCAGACTTGGCTGCTCTCGCATCCAGTGATATCAGCTCGACGGCCGCCTTGACCACGGATACCAGGGATGTTTCGGAAACGGCGATGATGCGGGAGCAAGGTCGATGCAGCATGACTTGGCATTGGAGACAACTAGCAGCCAACGATGAGTGCGAGTTCCCGTGCGCCGAGACCCCATGAGAGAGACGTTGTGTCCTGAGATCCATCTGCTCGACCCAATCGTCGTGGGAACCCGATTGACTTGGAACAGGGCGGTCGAAAAACTGGGTTGCCTGGATCTCGGATTTCATGATGCAGACTTGGAGGTCAAGGAGAAACTGCCGCTCTTTTGGGGTGCTGACTAGCTTTAAATCGGACCTTTCTGTCAAGTCAGATACGTCGCCGAAGTCGTAGGGAAGCCTGGTTGTGATGTGCTCATCACTCAAGGCGACTGGACATCCTCCAGAGATGGACACGATTCTGTCGAGTTGGTAGACCTGTATGGGGTTATGTGAGCAATAAGCTTGACCTAGACTTTTATTGATCGTGTACTTACGACCCAAAAGATGCGTCGGCGCTGCTCCGCGTGTGCTCTATCTCTAAAGATGCGTGGTTCTGGCTCTTGATGCAGTCCAAGGCATACAGCCATGCGCATAGCATCCCCGGTAAGATACCATAGATTGGAAGTTTGAGGTAGCAACAGCGCAAGTTGTATAAGCAATATCAGACACTGTAAAGCCGAGATGGAACAATCATGCAGCAAGTCGTCGACGTACTTCATGGCGTCCGCGTGTAGAGCCTCACTGAGAGCCGCGACTTTACGAAAGTCTTGGTTCTTTGAGTTGAGGGCACTGATTGCCATGGTCATCGAGATGACGAATCGAGAAAGGGCATCTTGAACACGGGAAAGCCCCGGTTTAGCGCTGTTGATGCATGTGTGGTTAAAGTGGTAGGCTAGCTCTGCCTCCGAGAAACAGGGGAATCGCGGGAGGATCTCTTCGGTGTAGTTTCTGAATAGCCGTTCCATCACGTTGAGAGGAACGTGTTGTGAGTTGAAGCTTGAGAACTGGCTTGCGTATGCTTGACCTGCTGTTCGGGGGTTGACTTCGTGGTAGATACCGCGAATTGGGATTTTAAGTGGTGGACGTTCAGAGGGATAGAAGAGTTTCGACTTATGTGGTAATATAGTCGAGCCTTGGAAGAGACTGAGAGAAAAGTTATTCGTGATTGAGATGGAGGCTATTTGAGCGGCGACATCGTGAGCGACGTCGGCTTCAGGGACTTCATTGACGGAGCTGTGGCCATCTGCATCTACCGAGGCGGATTTCAGTCGTTGCAACTCGGCTAAGCGATGTTCGAGGTGCTGAAGAAGACTATCAACAGAGTTTACTAGTTTCCACTTCATTATTCACAGATTCATACGACAACTTAACATGCCTGCGAGGAATTTCGGCAGACTTTTGCCGGTTGATTGCGGTGCACTCAGCTCTGGCGGTAACGCATCTTAGACATCTTGGTGTACCTCTGTCGCACTGAATGGGACCATCAGTCAAGGGGCCAATAACCCAAGAAGATTTCACCATATTCATACCTTTTGCTTGAGTCGATGACATCTGGCGCAGGCTGGCGTGGATCTGTGCCTTTTGCTTCTCAGGTCGGAACCCATCTTCAGCCAGCCACCACTGATCAAAGGATTTGACGATTGTCTACGACACTAACATACAACAAGACTGAATAAGCATCATGAAGTACCTTGGTCGCTGTTAATCCCAGGATCTGCTCCATACACAAGAGTTCAGTAACAGCTCTGTTTGTTCATGTCAAAAACGCCTGGGGATGAGGGGGTTAGTTGGTTCGCACATGATTGGCCGCTTCTCAACCCCACCAAGACTAGTAGATAAATCCGTCCCAGTCTCTCAGATGAGTCTGGGGTCACTTTCATACTGAATGCCATTGACATTTGGTGCATATCGTTTTATCTGGCTTAAACATCTGCATGTTTCGTGAGAATTTCGTTTGTATTGGTGAACTGATTCTCTTAATTTAATATGACTTCATCTGGGGTATATTTTCGAAACTTACGTCGTAGAGCGCGTCCGCGGAAAGACGAAATATCAACTATATAGACAAATAATCGAACCTGTCTAGAGACCCGGAGCATCTAAATTGTCTGCTGTGGAAGCCCTCTAGACTCATAGCTTGATATTCAAAGACTTGTCGTTCACATTCGCTGTGTATGATGACGACACGTGAGTCTGCAACCACCTCAGATATAAGTACCCCACTGCCGGTCCACCTTAAGACGTCGATACCCATCATTCTATCATTTGCATGATCCTGAGATCTACTTTCTACGCTCAAACCTGGTTTAAAATTGCCTTAAGCCATTGACCAACAATATGCCGTCGCAAGCTGTCCAGCGCATCAGCATTCGCTGGTTGCCCGAGCCTGCCTATGAAGATACCGATACGATTGCACTCAACGTAGGAAGGTACTTCATAGACTTGCGGGTTACCCAAGAAACTCAGACTATCCAATGGAGCCGCGCGGGAGAGAGAATCACTTTGAAGACCGAACCCCGTACGTACTGTCATCATCTTCCTGGATGTCTCTCTGCTCGATAATCAAAGATCATTGTTTTGACGTATCAATCGAGCCACAGCAACATTCCGATGGACACATATCATTGACTCTTTGAACCTGACCGTACCGGAAGATGCCTATTTCGAGAAGCTATCTAATGGGGATGACCTCGAAATCGGCACCACGCCTTGTCCTCACAAGAATGGTGTTTCAACCGACTACGAAGAAGTCTGGAGAGACGTTACGAAGCGTGGCACGAATAATACACCTTCCTGGATACTTCAGAGCAAAGACGGAAGAACTTTCATTGGAAAAGTTGGGGTCATATATCTCTTCATCTGCAAGGCGTCGGCGACAGAATTTGCGGCGCGACGAGAGGATTATGATTCCCAGCATGGAATTTGGAATTGCACATTTGAATCTGAGAATGATGGAAGCATGCCCAAAGCGTCCGCGGTGGTGACTATGGTAGACAACGAAGCGCAAAAGTCGGTAAATGGAGGTCTGGTCAGCATCGGTGGTGTTGTTTATGTATTTCGGGATGTTAGTCAAGACTGAAGACGTATGCATCTACGTTCGACATTGAATCCACTGTCATACTTTCGTTCGAGCAAGTCAGATATTTCCTAAAACGAAGAGACATGATGATTCCCGGCCGTGATGATCTCACATATCCAATCGCATTTGCTTTAGACTCAAACGCGAAGGCAGTCTGATCAAGAAGTTGCTCAATCAGTGATTTCATGACAAATGATGCCAACCCCAAGTCTCTCCTGATGTCAAGACTAGCGAAGCAGGATGATCGGGAATTCGCTAGTGTCGGCTATTCGCGAAGTCCCACTTACCCACAACCATTATCTACAGTGGGATGGGAGGAGGGGGCTTTATCTCCATGGGGAACCCAAGTGATTCCCCCGCAGATAGGATCGGCGACATCCCCGTCTGTATACCGGAGCCTGTGATAACGCACTCCGCTGACGGCGGTCGAGATTGTCACCCGGCAGTGACAGTATGTCATTCAGATAGCGCTTGGCCGGACATGAGCATGGAAGTGGATCTTGAACGAGCATTCCTACAGGCTCAACAGAGTCTTGTATCTTGAATGTTACCTTGCTCTCTGAGATTGCTCCCCTCCGGTAGTTATCAGATATCTGGCAGTTATTTCGATATAAGATATTGTTGCTGGAGCTTCCTCGCTAAAAAGTTTTGGCTTCGAAAGTCCCTTTTATGTAGTCGATAACGTGATTGCACTTGGCAACAGCGACATAACACAAGACAATATTGATCTCGACTCAAGACTTCTGGTGCTGTGATACTCCCCGTTCTTTATTAGCCCAGTGACAATAGCCACGGAAAATCACCTGCGATGCCACCGTACACAAGAACATCTTTGGAGGGCTCATCCGAGAAAATGGAGCCGGCGACGAACGGCGATGCATTCCCCGAACGAAACACCAAAACGGAGTGCATTGACATTGATGATAACCGTGAGGTCTTCCATGAGGAGGAATACAGGGCATTAGGTTGGTAGGTCATGTTATGATTAGAGTCGGAATTTCACTTTCGCCAGGGTACAGGTCACTGACACTGTGCATCATCTCAGGAAACGCACTGGCATCATCTTGATGAAGCTATGCTTTGCCACTGGTGTATTGACAATTCCATCTGCCTTCAGCTCAGTTGGGTACGGCCCGGGAATTGCCCTGCTCGTGGGTTGGGGAACACTGGCAACTTGTATGCCTTCATTTCAACATTGTCCCCAACTCTCGTCTCTTGCATCATCTTACTAATCGTACGTGCCGGAAGACTATGCGTACATCATGTACGTCTTTAGGATGAGATACGCTGGAGTTCACAGCATTGCTGATGCTGCAGCGCTGATGGGCGGACCTATTGCCCGAGAAATTGCTGGTGGTCTCTTCCTGCTGACTTGGATGTAAGACACGAGGAATTCTGATGAGCAACCGATTGTTTCTCCATAATACTGACACTCAAAAAGCCTCGCATCCGGTTCTGGCTTCATTGGTTTGGCGGAAGGGTTCACGACACTTTCGAACCGCCACGTCTGCAACATTGCGTGGACCCTCGTCGCGGCCACATGCACCGCAATCGTGTCTAGCATTCCCACTTTGGGGAGATTGTCAATCCTAGCTTGGATAGGATTTGCTTCCATTTTTACGGCTGTCTTCATTGTCGTGTGAGTTTACCAACTCTTCTCAATGTTCACCAACTTGGGGCATTATAGAATCGCTGACAAAATTCCGCATAAAAGGGTTGGTGTGACCCAAGTCGATCGGCCTGCGGCAGCGCCACAAACCGGACCATACGACATGGAAGTACACGCCGTAGGGGTCCCTGGGTTCGTCCCAGGAGTTGTCGCTGCCGTCAACCTGTTTAGTAAGTTGTGCTACACTGATGCATTGAGTTGACATCTGGAATGAGAGACTAATAGCTGTGAAGCTGGTTATGGATCTACACCAACCTTCATGCCCGTGATTGCGGAGATGAGAAGCCCACGATCTTTCACCAAATCTCTGTTCTCGTCTCAAGTGTTTCTAGCCTCATGTTATGTAGCATTTGGTACGGTCGTCTACATGTTAGTGAATCAGATAGCTCGGGGATACAGTGTTGCGAATCAATGAAGAACTTGACTGACGTATCAATCGTACAGGTATTGTGGAAAGTACGTTGCGAGTCCGTCTCTGGGCTCCGCTGGCGGGACATTAGAAAAGATAGCGTATGGTGTTTCGATTCCTGGATTCATTATGACAACGACTCTTTGGGTTCATCTAGCTGCCAAATCCGTAGGAGAATAATTTCATCCGATCAGCGAGTGTAACTACTGACAAGTCTTATACTAGCTTCTTGTACGCATTCTTCGCAACTCTGTACATCTACAAAGCAAGACCGCCATTCATTGGGTGACTTGGCTGTAAGTTCCGATCGCTTTTGCAGGACAGACGTTCGTCACACTGACATCAGCAATCTGCAGTGGCTCAACGATGGGTATCAGCGCGTTGGCTTTTATCATCGCTGAAGCGGTCCCGTTCTTTAGCTATCTAGTCGGGCTCATTGGTTCTATTTGCTGCATGCCTACTTGTGTAAGTGCAAGCCAATCTACCAGACTTTAGGGCGAGTCTCGATGTGACTGTTCACTGACGAATCGTGCCACATGACAGCTGATCATCCCAGCATTCATGGGCCTCTACATGGACTGGGAGAAAAGATCTTCTAGTAAAGTCAAGTTATCTCTCTGTGCCCTGCACATCTTTACGATAGTCCTGGGATCATTCATGACCGTTGTGGGCACTTATACAACAATCCAAAGCATCATCGATGCGTACAAGGATGGAAGGGTGGGATCAGCTTTTACTTGCTAAAATGATGGGCGAGGGCGACGACGACGAGAATTAGATATGGTGGCCGTCAATTGCCCTACAATAAGATTGGGATGGCTTGACAACCAGTCTGAAAGGATTCTGCCCAAGACTATCAGTCTCAACAACATTTGACGGAGACCCAATTGAAGTGCATCAGGTGAGGACATCCCGCAATAGATCCAGCCTCAAACATAATTCGACATCAATAAATGGGGATTTGTCTAGAGAGACATCCACTCATAAGAAGTGAAGGACTTGGAAATAAGATTGATGTATCATGATATGAAAATTCATTCACTAAGTGTGCAATCACCCTGAACATTGTAGGAATGGTTCTCAACTTTGAATCAAGTCCCGGACTCCCCAGACCGACTTTCCCAAGACAACCGCCGCGGACTTTTTGCCCAACGGTCTGGTTGAATTTGCTGATAGGGGATATTGCGCAAGACGCCTCAGCCTTCTTCCGCTATTGGACATGTTTTGATAGGTGCAAAAATGCCCCTGCGGTTGTGTGGTCCCGAGCCTAGCGAAAATTTGCGTTTGACATTCCACGATGTTAATTTGCAACCGACAGACAACCAAATCGCCTGCCCTGCCCCTCCACAATACTGAGTCATTGCAATCCTTGTGTGCAGTTATCGGCCCCCAAAGTGAAAGCCTGTCACGTAAATGATCTCTGTATTTCCGGCCGATAGCTTTTCTTCACTTAGAGCTTCCTACTGCAAGGGCTCATGCGGTAAGACGGCGTTGATAGATGGTCCTCTGCTCAAGATGAGTCTAGCCCAGAATATTCAACTGAGATGTTGCATTGCCGCCTAAATTCTCAAGCATATCTGGTCCTCTATTCGCTCGCGAGAAATTTGCCTCATGGGATTCACCAAACAGGCAAGAGCCAAGCCCTCGGAGTCCTCCGCATTTAGGGTCCAACGTTCCAACGGCATATCGACAGGCGGCATCCGGCCAAGACATACCGCATTAGGAAAACGCCTCCTCTTCGCTTATGACGGCCCGCTATAGCATAAATCAGCCTTGGTATTGATTACACTGTGATTGACGGTGCTTGTGATCCCTGCCTGTTCGGATAGAAGGTCAAACGGATGTCGGCTGACAATGAGATGCCCAGCGAGAGCCGAAAAAGCTCACCACTTTACATCAATACAGGTCTCCAAAAGCGAATCAACTTTTGGAGTTATGCAGTCAGTGTAATTTGCAAGTTGAGAGCTGTTCAATATCTCGATCTAAGCTAACGTTCCTCGGCAGGCTACCGGAGTTTAACCAAAGTCCTTATGGCTCTGGATATCATATTTCCATGACAGGGCCTTGAAATATTTTCTTACCACATTCTCAAGAACGACACTGTGCCTCTAAGATGCACTGCATTATGGGTCAGCTGCTGGTGTTGCGAGAAATTAATCGTGCTGTGCCTCAGCTTCGTTGAGTCGAAGCCTGGTGGCCCTCGTCCGAGCCACTACGCCCCACGGAAGATGAGCATTCTGAATTGTGTTCGTCTCTGACACGACTGGGCCCCTTTCTCAGAGATTTTTTCATTCAGAGATAGGAGAGGGTGAGGGAAGCCTGGCCGTCGATATGGAGCAAAACTGCTATATAAATGCTAGTAAGGCTTTCACGTACCTGATGCAATTCTCCAGCAAGTTTTGCTTCTAGATTCATTCTTTTAGACTTTCGGCATTTTGCACTGTAAATTGAGGTTATGAAACTCAACGCCCTTCTTTTAGCCGTTGCTGGCGCAGTCCGCGTCCAGAGTGCTGCAGTTTTCGCACATTTCATGGTCAGTTCACAGAATGAAATGCTATTCCCTGGCCGATGGGCATCTACTTACACTCTGCCAGGTGGGAAACACGGCCGATTACACAGAAAGTACCTGGCGTACGGACATTAGACTCGCCAAAGAAGCTCATATTGACGCCTTCGCCCTCAATATGGCCCATGGAGAGCCCATGAACGAGGTTTCTCTTGAGCGCGCTTTCAATGTCGCCAAAGACGAAGGATTCAAGCTTCTATTCTCTTTCGACTACGCAGGGAGAGGTCCTTGGCCGAAGGAGACCGTCATCAGCTATCTGAAGAAGTACACATCGAAAGCCGAGTACTTCAAGCACAGTGATGGAAGGCCTTTGGTTTCTACCTTCGAGGGCCCTGGCAATGCGAAAGACTGGATCGACATCAAAAGCCAAGTCAGCTGCTTCTTCATTCCTGACTGGTCGTCTGAAGGAGCAAGGCCAGCGCTGGCCCTTGGAAACAACGTCGCGGACGGCCTCTTCAACTGGGCTGCTTGGCCCTGGGGTCCTCGAGATATGGACACTTATGTCGACGCCTCGTACTTTCAATACTTGGACAAGAGGCCGTATATGATGCCTGTTTCGCCGTGGTTCTACACCAATATGCCCGGTTACAACAAGAACTGGATGTGGCGAGGTGACGACATATGGCATGATCGGTGGATTCAGGTCATTTACAACCAGCCTGAGTAAGTACCAGCTTGAGAGTGTTTCAAGGATGACATTGTACTAATATACATTCCAGATATGTCCAAATCATCTCTTGGAACGACTATGGTGAATCTCATCACATTGGTCCTCTTTACAGCCACGCCATGGAGGCGTTCACGGTTGGGAAAGCGCCATACAACTATGCCAACAACAGACCTCACGATGGCTGGCGTCAGACTCTACCGTTCTGGATCGACTACTACAAGACTGGCAAAGCTACTGTATCTCAAGAGAGTCTCGTTGTCTGGTACCGTACAAGCCCATCCAGCGCCTGCTCTGACGGTGGCACCGTCGGCAATACAGCAAGCCAACTTCAAATCGAATTCCCTCCACAGCTTATCATGTTGGACAAGATATTTTTTTCCGCAGTACTCGGGTCGGCAGCTGAGGTCACAGTCACAGTTGGTGGCAAGACTTTTACCCCGACATGGTCTTCGATTCCCGATGGAGGTGTTGGCGTCTATCATGGCAGCGTGGTCCTCCTTAGTGAGACCGGCGATGTGAACGTCCAGCTCTCCAGACCTGGGAGACTTCTAGCGAGGGTTGACGGACCTGCCTTCAGCTCTGCGAGCTGCGACAATGGGCGTACGAATTGGAACCCATGGGTTGGCAGTGCCGTCGTTGCCGGCTCCGTCTCCGTGACGATGCCAAACTCGAGACAGAACCAAGGCTGCATCAAGGGAACTGGAGCCAAGGGCTTCAGGGAGCTATGCGAGTTCAATTGCAAGTACAACTATTGCCCCGTGTCGTCCTGCTTGTGCCAGGCTGTGGGAGTGCCCAACACAAAGCCGCCAGCGCTCGAGAAAGACGGATTCCCCGCCAAGGGGAAGAGCGAGAATTACTCCGGACTCTGCTCGAATGCCTGCAACCTGGGATTCTGTCCAGAAGAGTTTTGTTCTGAGACTCCTCAGACGACTATCGTACCGACCGTCTCCGAGTTTCTTCCACCTGCCTGTAGGGCAGGCACCTCTCTAGTAGGCTATGAACGCTTCGAGGGGCTTTGTTCCTACGCCTGCAACTTTGGCTTCTGTCCTCTGCATATCTGCCGGTGTACTTCAGAGGGAGGCCTGATAGAGCCACCAGCACAGGTACCCGGTGCAACTGGAAAACCTGTTGGGGATTACAATGATGAGAAGCTGTGCGAGTTTGCCTGCTCTCGTACCTGGTGTCCCGAAGTTTGCAAGTCAAACGACGACGAAGAAACGGAACCGCCCATCGACCCCAATGATACCTGCCAAGCGAGCGATAAAACCTATAGCGACCTCGATCTTGATCGAACTGGCGAGTACATGCGCTGGTTGTTGATGGACCCTGAGAATGCAGCAGCGACGGGCAGACAGTACATCACCATCGTCAACCTCACGCCGCACCCTTTCAAACTCACTTCAACACATAGCTACCAGATGGACGAGTTCAACTGGGGCGATATTCCTCCTGGCAGGGCGCGTCAGAACGTCGCACACTATACTGAAGACATTGAAGCCAACAATGTCGATGACAACGGAGAAGCATACTACGACATCGGGAACACTGGCAAAAAGTTTGTCGTACGTGCCACAACTCATATACCTGATGCCTATCCCAGGCGCGTCGTTTTCGACCTGAGCGGGATGGGCAAGGGCCAGCGCGAGTACAGGGTGCCGGGGCAGGAGGTTCCTGTGACACTTGTCATCACGGGAAGTGATTCCTTCGGGTTCATCACTTCACTTTCACATGGACCGGGAAACTGGATGAACGCTATCAAGGATACGATCCGTGATCGGAGGGTGGTTGATTTGGTGATGCCAGGCACCCACGATTCGGGCATGAGTAAGATAACAGATGCTCTCCTGTCAGGAGGAACCGAGGGCAACACACAAACTCAGATGTTGAACCTATATGATCAACTGCGAGCCGGGTCTCGCTGGTTCGACTTGCGTGTTTCCAGCATTCATCAGGTTGTCAACTGTTGCGGCAACTACGACTTCTGGACGATGCACGTGGCTGATGAGGTTGCGGACGTCGTACTTGGGAGAACGGGAGAGAAATTGGACGACGTCATCAAGGAAATTAATCGATTCACGGATGAGAATCCTGGCGAGGTCATCTTCTTGCAGTTCCGCTATCTGCTTGGTGTCCGCAATGTGCCGAGCTATGGCCCCATCTACTGGGATGAAGGTATCAAGAACAAGTTCTTCGACAAACTCAAAGAGATCAAAAATCGGTGCCCTGGACTTGGCAAGAGTTTGCAAACGTCGAAGATTGGCGATTTAATGGACAAGAATGATAACAAGGGCTGCGTGCTTATCTTCTTGAACACCCAGCATCTGTCTAAGGAGATTCCTGATGACCGCAAGCATACTTCAATTGGCGAGGGCATCTATAACATCAATCATATCGACTTGACTGATGCGTGGCCTGAAAAGGAAGATACGAAAGAGATGGCTGAAAAGGCGATAAAGATGTGGAGAGGAAGGCCAGATGGCATTTTCCACATCGGCCAGTGGCTCAGTACACCGCATCCCTTGACATCGACGTTTACCTACGACCTCCAGTCAATCGCCGTTCTGCCTACCAACCCCGCACTCTACTGGAAGGGCCTGAATGAGATCTCGTACGAATACTACCCCAACGTCCTCTTGGTCGACTACATTGGCATGGTGATCAAGAATGAGCCTGGATGGGATTTGTTGAGTGCTGAGTTGTATACTCTGGCGATCGGTCTTAACTTGTACACAATCAGCGAGAACTGCACCATCAGCCCGAGAAGGTCCCCTTTGCTCGCAAGTCCGAAGAATTTAAGGAAGCCTCCGAGCCCCTTAGTATCGCAATTCAACGGCATCATTTATGCGAATGGGACGACTGTTAATGACCCGCCGCTTGGCCTTCATCTGGGTCGCGTCGAGGTTTTGAAGAACGGCACAATTTTCAGCAATGGCACAGTCCTGGAAGAGAGTGTACCCAACCCGGACTTCAACTCTATTCGGTTTTGAGGCTACAAAGCGGTCTTTTTAACACTTTGCAGGCACATTCACTAGTTTGGTCAACTTAGTAAAGTTTCTACTTGATAGATGGACACGTCTTTGAAGTCATAATCAAATGTGCGAAGTGAGCGTGTCATGAAACTGTGTAGTATTGAGAAAAGTCGAGTTGGGGTCGTAGTGCAGTTCGATATTAATATGTACATGCAAAGCCCCGCTAGTCCCAAACCTGCCCTCTCTGGCCAGGCCCATGTCTTTTCTTGCCAATTAGGGCCTCGCTCATATTTGCTTTGCCTCCTTGGCGCATTACTCTGAAGGGCTTGATCGTGTATAAGAGACAAAGCCCAAGCACATTTCCAGGCCCGAAATCCCTTCGTCAGTTCAACCAAACCCGTTCCAATCCAGTTGCGTCTTCGGCGCCCTGGCGAGATAGTCATGTCTTCTACCATCACAGAATCCGTTCCGGCCACAACCACTAAAAACCTCGCCATAACCACGCCTTTCGTGCAGCCGCCAGACTGTTCAAACCAATGGACTACGACAAAAACGTCGCACCGGTCTCTTGTTTCAATCTCCGGCAGCGAAGTATACCGCGACGTCATATCGAAGGTCTCTGTCTCTGCTCCCTCATCATCATGCTATCCCTCTGGATGGGACCGCGTCGCAGAGTACAGCCGGCTCAATTTCAGCCCGGGCGTGTGCCCCGAAGGATGGACGTATTATAGCATGGCACACACATACACCGAGGGCCCTACATCAGCTTACTGCTGCAATAGGTTGGCTTGCACCATTTTCTTCATCACTGCAAATCTTGCTTGTCGTGTCTATGACTTGACCGCTGACTAGAGGTGGAGTGGATTCAATTACACTCGGGTCAATGGAATGGCGTGCGCCGCATGGCGCCCAAAGACCGAAGCCCTTTCCAACCCCGAGGACGCGAAATCGGACCAAGTGCTCATGATACATACACCATGGACCGTGACTTGGGATGCATCTGATACTGCGACCTTGACGCCAAAGCTACCGACATTGGCGAGCCCAATGATAGTACCGACGTGGACAACTGGTCAGACGATCCCGGATGGAGTTTATGACTACAAACCGCCAAGACTTGAGAGTATGCCTGACCCTACAAAAGACAGTCTTTTCATGTTCCTAGTGGTTGGATGTCCTGTAATATTTTTCGTGTTGGTCTGCTCATGCGTGTTTTGCTGCGTAAGGAGCTGCAGAAAGAAGAGGCGGCAGAGAAAGGTTGTGATTGTCGCGGCAACGCCCGCCGCACCTACTTCGCCACCTAAGTGAGAAGTGAGCCTCTGGATAGAGAATCTCTTCATGATGGAGTTTTGGCGTGAAACCTTATCTTGTAAATACTTTCAACAAATCTTGAGCTCTTTGATTACCTACGTGTTGCTGGATTTGAGATAGCCTTAGTAGGCTTTGGCTTCGCTGTTTCAAGACGCAATTCAAATGAGCCTCTCTGAAGACCATACTGGAGAACTGTTCATAGGATTACTGCCAACACGTTGCGAACATGATGCCGTTGATCGCGTGCAGCAAACAATTCTTTCTCCCCGTGACACAATGTTGTTTTGCTGGAGAAAGGGGGCTCACCCTTACTTCCCATGCTTCGCATAAGCCTGCGGCCAGTTGTTTTGAAGTCGTAGTACAACGCCGGACTGTACATGAGATTGAAGCAGTCAAAGCATGTAGTTGTCTTGAATTTATTGAAAGGAGTATGTATCACCGAGAAACCAAGAATACTCGTGTGACTGCCCTCGAAGCGACTACTGTCTCGTAGGCAAGATCTTTCGAAGTTGATCGTGAGCTGTGGGATATCGGTGTGTAAGGAACGTTAACACATATCTCTGTTGCCTCATCACAATACGGCCGAATTTATTGTTACGAATCTGCTGATCGAGAGAAGGAACGCAACGTTGGTTGAGGTTCGGAGAGGAAAAGCCTACATAATCACAGCTGATGGGCCGGCCCATGTGCACTTGAGCAATAACAGGTGCGCTGCACTTCATTGGCTCATTGCTCTTCTGGGTGCATTTTGAACATGGGAACTCGCTTGAGTGAAGATCAAATGCACATTGACTTGGGGTGGAGTGCGGTCTGAGAAGAAGCTGCCCTAGGCAATGTAGTGTGACGTGGCTTCCGGTTAGTAGAGGCCAAGTCTCTCTCACATTCGTCCGCGAAGTAGCTACTCACTATTAAAAACTCTTCGGCAACCCCCTGACCAATTGACAATGATGCGATAGTGAACGTATTCGAACCAACTGCTCATTAGTATGTTCCTTGCCGGCTGAAACTGGATTGCAAGCTGTTAAGCTGAGGTCACATGCAGGTAAAGCATTGAGAAAAGTTCAGTTGCTTTTGATCCAGCTGAGTTTGGGAGGTTTCATTTCATCTGCTCGGCCCAGCGCAATTTCATTACCAACGCAGGCGAGGACGCTGGGCTCTGCACAACTAGGGCGCAGCTAGAAGCTGCACTTGGCATCAGGCAATGTTGAACGTAGTGATTCGATCTTCTCCCTGTAATAATGGGTCCTTGCTTCGCAGTACATGTGAGTAGCCGGACAACGAGCTGTTGGAACCATTGGGATCGGAGTCCAGACAGGCGAGGCCCCAAATTAGACCCAACCAACAAGCTAAACGAAGGCCCGATCACATCTGGCAGAAACTTCTCATGATTCGTCGAGAACCTTGCAGATTCGAGCATTCTTCTTGGCCCGTCGGCTGTCTTGTCTTTTCTGGTGACGCTTTCCTGCCGCAGGCCACGCTTGGCTGTCATTGAGGCACATACATGTATCACCGAGAGTAGGACCCATTGGGTTTCCCAGACACCATTCCTCCAACAACAACCCTTTAGTTCAGCTATCAGCTTCGCCATTGTTTTCTGTGCGTTCTATCTACATCCCGAGCAGGCTCTCGCTGCTCGGTCGCGATGAGGGCCACGGCAGTTGTCCTCGCGGCAGTAATTCGCTTCGCATACGCTCAAGAGATAGACGATATTCCTGCATGTGCTCAGGATTGTCTGGGTGAAAGCCCTACGGAAAACTGTCACATATTGAGGAAACCTGATTGTGCTTGCCGTCTTGGAACGAGCGATCTCTTTCGTGCCCAATGGGCCGCTTGCATAAAAAGATTTTGCAGGTACCAAGAAAAAACAATCCAAGGTATGCTTCTCTTGATCTCACAATGAGAAAGCTTCTCTGTCTTTCACTATCTTCGACTCTGAAGCGCTGTATTGACGCTAAGTTCAAGATGTGTGGCCCCCCTTTGCGGCCTACTGCGTCGCCAATGGCTGGCTCAATACTTTCCAGACGGATGTGATTTCTACAGCGACCTTGACAGAAACACAACCCAGTATCATCACCATTACTCAATCCGCCACTTACGATGTCGGTGGCACGTATGCAACCGTGAGTATCGAGACATCCACATCATGGACAGAGTCTGGCTCGACCGCATCACAAACCATCACATCAACGACGCAATCAACAACCTCTATACCCGAATCTACTCCTACCGCCGAATCTACGTCTACGATTGATGGTGACAATAGTGACTCCTCCTCGGATCGGTTATCGACGGGAGTGAAGGCTGGAATTGGTGCTGGAGCTGCCCTAGCGGCAATGCTGGCTGTAATCCTACTCTTTTGGTGGCGAAAGAGGAACAAGGCCAGCCAGAATGTTGGTAAGGAGGATAATATCACACCAGAGCTCGGCGGCGGGGACAAATCCAACAGATATGAGTTGGATTCATATACGGCACCATTGGAAGCCGACAAGAAAAACCCCGTAATATTTTCAAATCAACAGAATCAGATAATGGCCGAGCTGGACGGAACTCCGTGCGCATCGCCTGAGCCAAAAATTCACGAAAGCCTCGAGGTCACGCCTTCAGTTGAGCAGGACACGGTATCACCGGAGGTCGTGTCCACGATTTCGCTCCCAAAGTCGCCCCTATCATCTGCAACAAGTCGGATGTCACCGCCCATAATTGGAGATCGTATTAATTCCTCGCCGGAACCCCCTATTGCAGATATGGCTGAGCTGGAGCACCTGCTACATGAAGAGCGGCTCTTGAGGGACAGGAGGCAGACGTTGGAGCAGTTGCAGCGGATACAAGCGGATGAACTTGCTTTGGGGGAGCGAATCAGGACTCTGCGGCAAAGTCGCAACTAGGGATAAGCATCCAAGCACGCTGCTTCACGAGGCTTCCAGGGTAATCGTTCATCAAGTGCGTTGCCTGTCATACGAGTCTTGACCAAAAGAGGCCCAGGAACAAGGGCTGCTATGATAGATTTAAAGCATGCTCAAGTAATCATAATACTGACTGTTCCATACATGTAGTCATACAGCCAAAAACTAACTCCGGTGGAGACCTTTGGCAGAATTTCGGCTGAAGTCAATGTTTTTTCTTTTCTGATTCCGCACAGATACATGCATCGAAGCACGATGACGTCGCACGAAACTCCAAACCCACCGGACCACAGATACCTGAGATAGTTAGTTATCATTATGGCTGAATAACACCGAGGTCAAATTTCGAATGAGGGGAACCTTCGAACCGACGATATGCGGAAAAGTGTTTCCGACCCGTCTGAAGTCCTATCCCACTACACACCATCTTGGAGGTAGCGGGGAAATCTCGACCTACATCATAGATCTTCCTCGAGCAGCACTAGTTCGGTTGGTCTCAACTTCAACTTCACACGCCATTCTTTAAACTACAGCCCTGTGTATACTTACCTTATTCTTATCTTATTCGACGAAGCACAATTATGGAGACACACCGAGCTGCTGTCTTGACTGTAAGCTACCTCACATGCACCATTCAGACTGTTCCACCCGTCTTGTCTTCTTCACACCATCGAACTCTGCAGAGACTTACGATTTGTAGTCGCCTCAAGGCTCAGATGGGAAGCCTACGTTTGCGGTGCGGGATGAACCGCGGCCAGTTCCAGGACCGAATGAAGTTCTTATCCGCCTATCAGTGACGGGTCTCTGCGGTTCCGATCTCGGTATGGCCATGGGCCATTTCGGACCCCTCGATAGGAAGATTCTCGGCCACGAAGGAGTCGGTCGCATTGCCGCCCTAGGCTCTAACATTGCGGCCCTCGACCAATCGGTCCAAGTTGGACAGCGAGTGGGTGTCGCCTGGACTCGCGATACTTGCGGCAATTGCGAGGCCTGCGTAGACCTCGTCAATGAGGGTGAGACGCGCTGTGAAAAGACACTCCACTCTGGTAGAGCGTACGACGGTACATTCGCTCAGTATACGCTTGCGCCGCTGCGGTACTTGGCGAGACTTCCTGCCCAGTTTGACGAGGTGCCTGACGAGGAGGTTGCGCCTATCCTTTGTGCGGGTGTCACTGCTTACAAGGCGATTAAGAATTGCCATGTTACGCCGGGCTCGTGGTTCGCCATCTCGGGAGCCGGAGGAGGTGTAGGTGCCCTAGGCGTCGCGTATGCCCGTGCAATGGGCTACCGCGTCATTGGCGTCGATGCTGGCCCGGAGAAGGGTGAAATCTGTAAAGACCAGGGAGCCGAGGTCTACATCGATGTTACCGAGCCTGGAACTCTAGCCGAGAAAGTCAGAAAGGCAACCGGAGGCTATGGGGCAAAGGCAGTGGTGGTGGCAGCTACGGCAACTGCTGCTTACCAGGATGCCTTTGAGTTGCTGGCGCCATTCGGGACGCTGATGTGTGTTGGCATTCTGCCTTGGGAGGCGAAAGTAAATTTCAATCCCATCTGGCTTATCGGGAAGGGTTGGAAGATCCTGAGCTCCTCTGTTGGATCGCGTGCCGATATTCTTGAGGCATTGGAGTTTGTCAGACGACGTGTGGTCGTTCCCAATGTCCACGTGGGCAAAATCGACGACTTGGAGGAATTAGTGCAGACTATGCACGGCGGTCAAGTAAGTCATTCTTGAACTTGATTGTGTGACTGCTTGCTGACTTTCTTGTAGCTGAAGGGCAAGTGGGTTTTGAAGCTGGACTAAGCATGATGGACGGGCCCATTGTCCTTCATACGATTTGGGTAACATATTTCCGGAGAGTATTTGGGTAATATCAAATAAGCGAATATTCGGATTCTTTAGATAATATCGTAAGTTCGATAATGGAGGTTAAATGACGAAAGACAATGTACAATGACGCCCCTTCTTGACATGTCTCGCTTGGGGCCAGTGCCTTTGTGATCCCTAGCCAGCATTGAAACATGCCAACCTCCAAGGCCGGGCTAATAACTGCTCAGATGTAAGGAACTCCAATAGAAGTCAAAAAGTAACTGCCAAGACAAGAATACGGTAGGCAGATGGGACAGAGTTGGGCTGAAAATCCCGCACAACTTATTAACACTCTCGGGAGATTTTAAAGTTCAATTTAACCAAGCTAAAACTCCTTCTTTGTTACCATCTTCCGTTCAATTATCGCCTACTTTATTTGCACTTGCTGAAGGGATTGCGATAGTTCTCAATACTGGTGGCCTGAGCACATCCTCAAAGCGTGAGCCTTGGGGCAAACTTCGCAAGCCTACCATCTGCCAATGCAAACTACGGCCTTGAATCATGGTGGCGGGCCTTCTTGGTCTTCTCCGACTCTTGGTAGACAACCCCCCAGCTTTTCCAACCCGATGCGGAAGTCTTGGGGGATCCTCAGGGGGCCTGCGACACGCGACAGGCCGGCTACTTGCAAAGGCCCAGAGATGCGGGAGTAATGTCGATTATCACCACGTGAAGTAATATCAGGGTGAACCCATTGTTTCGGGACACCAAGGCTGAGCATATCAGGCACGACATTTTCACGACTCATGCTCACGTCTGAAGTTCCCGGCCGCAGCCCATGGCGTGTGTCGCCGCGCGCTCTGTGCTTTTCGCTCCTCCTCTTCCCTTCCGAGTTCGCCCCTCCTCACAGCGGAGTCCATCCCCTCTCAGAATCCCAAGCAAATCGGGAATTAATTTCTTGAGCAACTTTAATCAATATTGAAGGTCCAGAATCACGAGAAGAGAGGAGAACGACTTTGTCTTGATTTTTCGGCTTGGGTGCAAAGTATGGGCCACCGATGTTGATCAAGCAGATTGTCTGCTCACGATACCTACTAATCGGCCGCATGTCGGCCTCGGCACAACTTCAGTCGAAAGTGATCTTGGCAGCCTTTCCCTCGCCCGACCTGGATGGCAATCACACCTTAAAGACACTAGCGTAATTAAATGCAATCAATTGTCTACCGCGCTTGGCAGGTAAGTTGGCAGAAGCACTGCACGGCACGGCTAAACCGGACTTGGGCTTTGCCCCGATTCCCGCGCGGTTGACCACTCAGCAGTGCCAGGCAGGGCTGGCAGGGCGGCTTAGGTTCGAAAATAGAACCTCCTTTATTTGCGGGCATATCCGCGGGCATTCAATTTTGCGCGCGACTGTGGCAAAAATCTCTTTCCTCTCGCCTATGTTTCAGTTTCCCAGTTGCCAATCGCGGGAAGGGGGAGGAGGAGAATCACGGGAGGGAGGGAGAGACGCGCGAAATCGGAAGAACGCACGACCGGGGTCAAGGGCCACGCCGACAGGGGAATAACAGCCGGCTTGTGGACTGTGGAGGTTCTTGACGGATACGTGGGCAGTTGGATTCTCTCTTAGCAGAAAGTATGCGATGATAAAGAGTGCAAGCGGTTGATTTGAGTTTTGTACGAAAGTGCCCGGGGATAGAGCCATGAAACGCCTAAACTTTGCTCTCAGTAGGACGGCAGAGCAGAAAGGGCAGATATTTTCAGCGAGGGATATCTCAAAAGTCCGACTTTGTCGGCGAGAAAACCCCGTGCGTGTTCGTCCTTGGTCGTTTTCGGAAACTTGGGGCTTTGTCTTGCAAAGGTTATCCTGTCATCAATCAACCAAAGGCTTGCAAGCGAACTAGGGACCCCGATCCATACCCAGGGGTAAAAGACGTTGCGATGCCGCGATGGTTCGAAGGTCTCCACTCCGTCTAAACCTTGATATTGCTTTGCCCACATTAAGCAAGGCTTTTAGCGGGATGAATGGGTGCCGAGACAAGCCTCCCATTCTCAAAGGGCCTGTTGACAGGCTTCTAGCGTCTTCACATAGAGCCTGCAGGCTAATCAGTGCAAGTATTTCATAAGAGTTTCTGCCCAGACTTATGCGGCACCAATGGAATTGCGTGATCGGCTGCCTGAGACGCTGATACGCATGGTCGGTACTGATCGCTGTGTGTATTGAGTTTTGCAAGAGCTGAAGAGTCCGTAACGCGCTCGCTTGAGAGAAGGGAAGGGGATCCCGTCCATTTCGCACCCCAAAAGGCTGGTAGGTTGGCGACAGACGCGCGCCACAGAGTTGAGATGACGGGCTGCCGCTCGAAGATGGATGCATTCATCTTTTCACGGCTAAGTCGGGGGAACGCTTTTGGAAATCTGACACAAAACCCCACGTGGGACTGCGCAATTGCTAACGATATTCGGACTATGCAGTGGGTCAGAGTGCTGGGTACTACGTTCCAAAACGCCAAGTGTTGATTAAGGAGACCCTGCCTTAGTTCACATGCAACTCTGGCAGAGTTGGCTGTCCAGTCCGTGGTACCCTAGGTGGTATCTCGGAACTCTCTGAGGCGTATCATCAGCCTCAAGGGAAGCCTCAAGGGAAGCCTCAAGTCTGGGAGGCTAAGCATTGCCTTACCCAGCTGATGTTAATCGCGCAAACTCAAAGCCATTTAACCGCACGTCTTTCGACGACTTACGTCCTGCCTATTAGGCACTCGTCTGGGGGCCTTGACCAAGTTCAGATGGCATCACGGACGTCTATCACACAATAAATAGAATGCACAGGGGCATCCGGAAGGCCCCACGTCCATCAACGACTTCATGACTCGCACCTTAGCCCCGTGACTCCATCAATGTAACGAACAGCCAATCCCGCCCAGTCCACGGTTCTGGTTTAGCAGCGCACTGGCTTTTGGTACAAGATGATACCCATTTCCACCCGTCGCCCGCGAGGCTCGCTCGCGTGGATGCCAACCAACATCCATTGGCGTGCGGGTTCACGATGGCCTTCGATGCGGCAGTCGCATCTGTCACACTGACGGGCAGCATACTTTCGTTCCTCGCGACAACAGGTGTACTAATCTCATTCGCTCTCTACCATGAGCATCAGCGATCTTTCCGCCATGCTCTCGTCCTGAAC